TGGGGTCTATACCTGGGCCAGGAGCTGGGTCTGTACTTGGGCCAGGAGCTGGTTCTGGACCTGGTCTAGGAGCTGGGTCTGTACCTGGGCCAGGAGCTGGGTCTGTATCCGGTCTAGGAGCTGGGTTGGGACATGGCCTAGGAGCTGGGCCAGAAGCTGGGTCAGTACCTGGGCCAGGAGCTAGATCGGTACCTGGGCCAGGAGCTGGGTCTACACCTGAGCCAGAGCTAGGACCTGGGCTCAGACAGGGGTCTGGGACTGGGCCCAAACCCAAAGAGTCAACAACAACCCCAACACCAGCGCCGCAGCAGAAGACTCAAGCCAAACCCACAAAGGTTGCCAGGCAGAAGGTTCTGGTGACTGGAGGAGGAGGCTACCTGGGCTTTAGCCTGGGATCCCACCTGGCCAAGAGTGGCACTCCTGTCATTCTGCTTGATCGCTGCAGACCCCAGTGGGAACTGTGCCCAGAAACCGAGTTCATCCAGGTACAAGGGACAAGGGTCTTAATAGACTGGGGTGGTGGTGATGGTCAGGAGCCAGTGTTTGATGTGAAACCTGTGGTGTGGGGTTTAGGGGCACAGACCCTGAAGCCAGACTGTTTGAGCTATAGCTCTGGCTCCAGTGCTACCAGCTGGGCAGCTGTGGTCACAGAAAGGGGACAATAGTAACTAACACCTACTTCACAGGGTCTCACTGGGAGTTGATGAAACAGTACACATAAACCTAGCACAGCCCCTGTGACCTAGAGAGTGTGATGAATGAGCAGGGGATGATGCTTACAGTGCCCTGTAGGATCATTTAGTGAATCCTTCCCCACCAGCCTTTCCTGATGCTACAGAGGCTTAGCCTGGGCTGGGTCAGGAGGCCAGCTCTGAGAGCAGGCAAGGTGCAGAGGTGTTATCTCTTGCCTTGGACTTGGACCCCCTTCCCTCATATCTTTCCTCTGGTGCAGGCTGACGTCCGAGATGAAGAAGCCCTGTACCGTGCCTTCAAAGGGGTGGACTGTGTCTTCCACATGGCTTCCTATGGACTGTCTGGGGCTGAGAAGGTGGGCTCCTCACACATAACACCTAGAGTTAGACAGAGTAGGGTTCCAGTCCTGGCTCTGTCCTCACGCCCATGCATTCCCTATCATGCTTCACCTACTGTAGGAAGGACTTGGGCTACTCCCACCCTGCATCCTGCATCCATGAGACCAAATACCAGTTCGGCCATTTGGGTTTGTTTTTTGTTTTTGTTTTTTTGAGACCGAGTCTCACTCTGTCACCCAGGCTGGAGTGCAGTAGCACAATCTCAGCTCACTGCAACTTCCATCTCCCAGGTTCAAGTGCTTCTCCTGCCTCAGCCTCCCGAGTAGCTGGGATTACAGGTACCACCAACACGCCCAGCTAATTTTTGTATTTTTAGTAGAAACGGGATTTCACCATGTTGGCCAGGCTGGTCTCAAACTCCTGACCTCAGGTGATCCACCTGCCTTGGCCTCCCAAAGTGCTGGGATTACAGGCATGAGCCACTGCACCCAGCCCCAGTTCTGCCATTTCATAACTGTGCTATCTAGGGCAAGTTTACTTAACCTCTCTGATCCTCTTTCATCATCTGGAAAGTGAGGATATTGCTATTAGTAATAACACAACCTCTTCAGAGAGCGATGTAATAGTATCCACCAAAACATACATACACCGGTTGCCTCAGAAATTACACTCATTTGTGTATTTGCAGCATTGTTTTTAATAACAAAACACCAGAAATAACCCATCAGTTGAGGACTATTTAAATAAATTGTGTTTTACAGTCAAATTCTATGCAGCCATTCAAAAGAAAGAGGTAACTCAAAGTGTGCAGATTAAAAAAAGTTTCCAAGGTGCAAAGCAGTGTTTGGCATTCTCCTGTTTGTTTCCAAAAAAAGCTAAAGAAACTGTTTATTTCTGTACTCACACATGCTTATATGCTGATATTAACGAGAACAGATTATCTCGAGAAACACTGGAAATTTAACAGTGGCTGCCTCTGGGGAGGGAAAAGGAAGATTTGGAATCAGGAGTGGGAGGGAAACTTCTTTTTCACCATACACTCATTTTACTGTTTGAATTCTTTTTAACCTTGATCGTGTTGCCTATGAAACAAAAACAGCCGCAACAAGAATAAATATAGAGCCAGGCATGGTGGCTCACATCTGTAATACCAGCACTTTGGGAGGCCAAGGTGGGAGGATTGCTTGAGCCCAGGAGTTCGAGACCAGTCTGGGCAACATAATGAGACCCCCATCTCTATTTTAAAATAATAAAAGTAAATTTTATTATTTTTATTTATTTATTTATTTTTGAGACAGAGTTTCACTCTGTCTCCAAGGCTGGAGTGCAGTGGTGCGATCTCGGTTCACTGCAGCCTCCACCTCCCAGATTCAATCAATTATCCTGAGTAGCTGAGACTACAGTCGCACGCCACCACACCTGGCTAATTTTTGTATTTTTAGTAGAGATGGGGTTTTGCCATGTTGCTCAGGCTGGTCTCAAACTACTGACCTCAAGTGATCCACCTGCCTCGACCTCTCAAAGTGCTGGGATTATAGGCATGAGATACCATGCCTGGCCAAAAATTTTTAAGAGAATAAATATAGGCTGGACGCAGTGGCTCATGCCTGTAATCCCAACACTTTGAGAGGCCAAGGCAGGTGGATCACCTGAGGTCAGGAGTTTGAGACCATCCTGACCCACGTGATGAAACCCCATCTCTACTAAAGACAAAAACATTAGCCGGGCATGGTGGTGCATGCCTGTAATCCCAGCTACTTGGGAGGCTGAGGCAGGAGAATCATTTGAACCCGGGAGGCAGAGGTTGCAGTGAGCCAAGACTGCACCACTGCACTCCACCCTGGACAACATGAGCTAAACTCCATCTCAAAAATAATAATAATAAATATAGCTTAAAAATAAGCATGGAGCTCATCTCCTGGTGTGATGAGAATTAAATGAGATCGTGGATCGGGAAGCTCTCGCCCTGTCCCTGGCCCATAGGAGCCCTCATAGCCGCCTAGTTTTTGTTTTTCAGACCCCAGCTCCCTCATGAGGGCCCAGCCCATATTACCATGTCCACCTTACAGATAGGGAAACTGAGGCTTTGAGAGCAGGTTCTGAGGCTGTCTTCTGTGCCAGGGATTGTACCAGGTCCTCTCAAGTGTCTTATTGAGTCCTGCCCACCACCCAGGGGAGGAGGTTGGCCCTCACTTTACAGATAAGGTTGCTGAGGGCCAGATGTGGGGGCAGAACCTTCCCTGGCCACCCAGGAAGATGGTGGCAGAGCCAGGCACCCACACTCCAGGTGGGCCTTCGGGATCCCTGTCTCTGAGGTGAACATCCTGCTGCCCCGTCCCACCTGACCCCAAGCGCAGCCTTCCAGCCTCAGCAAGAAGGCATGGGTAGCACCATGACTTTCTCACCTGTCTTGTCTTTTAGCTGCAGAAAGAGCAGATTGAGTCTATAAATGTCGGAGGCACCAAACTAGTGATTGATGGTAGGTGCTCAGAACCAGGTATGACCTGCTGTGCGTCTCCCCCTCTCTCCCTTCTCCTGCTGCAGGCCCGGCTCCCAGGGTGTAGGGCTGGGAGACAGAGGTGGGGCCCTCCTGCCATCAATGGGCGGGCCTGGGGGCAGCACATCCCTTGTGCACTGCAGACCTGCCCAGGGCCCCGCATGAGTGTATCAGTGTGGTCTTAGCATGTCTGGGAACATGGGGACCAGAGTTACCTCTGAGGGCTTAGGGGATGGAAAAGAAAAGTTGCCAAAGCTGGCTGGGCATGGTGGCTCACGCCTGTAATCCCAGCACTTTGTGAGGCCGACAGGGGTGGATCACCTGAGGTCAGGAGTTCGAGACCAGCCTGGCCAAAATGGTGAAACCCCACCTCTACTAAAAATACAAAAAAATAGCCAGGCGTGGTGGCAGGTGCCTGCAGTCCCAGCTACCTGGGAGGCTGAGGCAGGAGAATTGCTTGAATCTGAGAGGCAGAGGTTGCAGTGAGCCGAGATCGCACCACTGCTCTACAGCCTGAGTAACAAGAGCAAAACTCTGTCTCAAAATAAATAAATAAATAAAATTTAAAAATAAATAAATAAGGCTGGGCGTGGTGGCTCATGCCTGTAATCTCAGCACTTTGGGAGGCCGAGGCAGGCAAATCACCTGAGGTCGGGAGTTCGGGACTAGCCTGACCAACATGGAGAAACCCTGTTTCTACTAAAAATACAAAATTAGCAGGGCGTGGTGGCACATGCCTGTAATCCCAGCTACTGGGGAGGCTGAGGCAGGAGAATCACTTGAACACGGGAGGCGGAGGTTGTGGTGAGCCAAGATTGCGCCATTGCACTCCAGCCTGGGCAACAAGAGTGAAACTCCATCTCAATCAATCAATCAATCAATCAATAAAAAGTTGCTGAAGCACCAAAATCGAAGACCCATGTGTGGGCTGCCTGGGCATGTCCTGCCTTATCCCATATGTCTCTGATTCTAGAGTGCCTTTTTCTATGTCTCCATCCAGTGAGACCTTCTTCTGACCTGTCTCTGGCAAGGTAGCCCAGGGGTCCAAGCCACAGTGAGAAAGAATAAGGAGCAGGCCTGGCTCCCAGAGGCCCACGGAGCAGGAACTTGACCTGCACCCTAAGTTAAGGGCAGAAGACTCTTCCTTCCTGAACAGCTGTAGATTCTGGGAGGGTCCCGGGGGTCCAAGTTGTGCATTGAAAACTTGGTGGAGATCTGCATGGCACCTCCTTAGCCGACTCCATGCTCACATGTGTCCCATGTGTCCCGTGTGTGTGTCTGTGTCTTTGCACATGTGTGTGTGTATTTGTTGCTATGTGCACCTGCTGCTGCAGTCTGTGTTCGCCAGCGGGTTCCAAGGCTCATCTATACCAGCACTGTCAACGTTGCATTTGGCGGGAAGCCCATAGAGCAGGGTGATGAGGACTCCGTGCCATATTTCCCATTGGACGAGGTACCTGTCTTTCGGGAGAGGTGGGCGGGGCCCGCGGACCGGGGACCTACAGCTCAGAGGGTAGGAATGGATGGAAGCAGGGTTGGTTTCACAACTCAGGATACGTCCTAGCAGGAAGGGGCCCCCAAAACTGGCTGGCATCAGCACTCCCCAACCGGGCCACATTCTACCCGTGTGACCCTGACCCTGAGCAAATCGCTTAAGCCCTTTGAGCCTGTTTTGTTTTTTGTTTTGTTTTGTTTTTTACTTTCTCTTTTCTTTTTTCCTTTCTTTTTTTTTTTTTTTTTTTTTTTGAGACGGAGTCTCGCTCTGTCGCCCAGGCTGGAGTGCAGTGGTGCAATCTCTGCTCGCTGCAAGCTTCGCCTCCCGGGTTCACACCATTCTCCTGCCTCAGCCTCTCGAGTAGCTGGGACTACAGGTGCCTGCCACCTCGCCCGGCTAATTTTTTGTATTTTTAGCAGAGACAGGGTTTCACCGTGTTAGCCAAGATGGTCGGTATCTCCTGACCTCATGATCCGCCTGCCTCGGCCTCCCAGAGTGCTGGGATTACAGGCGTGAGCCACCGCGCCCGGCTTTTTTTCTTTTTGTTGAGACAGAGTCTCACTCTGTCACCAGGCTGGAGTGCAGTGGCGCGATTTTGGCTGACTGCAACCTCCACCTCCCAGGTTAAAGCGATTCTCCTGCCTCAGCCTCCCAAGTAGCTGGGATTAGAGGTGCACACCACCACAACCAGCCAATTTTTGTATTTTTAGTAGAGACAGGGTTTCACCATGTTGGCCAGGATGTTCTCCATCTCCTGACCTCATGATCTGCCAGCCTCAGCCTCCCAAAGTGCTGGAATTACAGGTGGTTTTTGTTTTGTTTTGTTTTGTTTTGTTTTGTTTTGTTTTGAGACAAGGTCTTGCTTTGCTCTGTCACTCAGACTGGAGTGCAGTGGCAGGATCTCAGCTAAATGCAACCTCCACCTCCCGGGTTCAAGTGATTTTCCTGCCTCAGCCTCCCCAGTAGCTGGGACTACCACGCCCAGTTAACTTTTGTATTTTTAGTGGATACAGATTTCATTGTGTTGCCCAGGCTGGTCTCAAACTCCTGGGCTCAATCAATCCTCCCTCCTGGGCCTCCCAAAGTGCTGGGATTACAGGCATGAGCCACTGCACCCAGAAAAGCCTCTGTTTCTTCATCCCAGCATGGTGACACTACTGCCATGGGGTTGTGCAGAGCAGGAAATAATTTAACCAATGTGAAAATGCCATGTGAACACAAAAGAGCCATGTGTAGGTAATTCATCCAGCATGTGTCCAGCATCAGCCTTGCAAGGACAGGTGTCTGGGGCTGGCAGGAGTTTCCCTGAGTTGGGCTGCCCCTAGTCATTGTTACTGCTCCGAACCCAGTGCTCCTCTGCTCCTGTGGCTCTGGAAGAGGCTCCCGGGGGAGAGGAAAGGCCATGGGGCTCAGGGCTTGGCCATATCCCAGTGGGAGTCCCAAGGGAAGGTGCAGCCCTGGGGCTGGGCCAGGCTGGGCAAGCATTGCCAGCAGCATTGCTGACCCTCTCTGGTGGTTCTGTTTTTCCCGGCCTCTGGCAGCACATAGACCACTACTCCCGAACCAAAGCCATCGCCGACCAATTGACCCTCATGGCCAATGGGACGCCTCTCCCAGGTGAGTATCATGGGGCTCTGCTTATATCAAATGCACCTGCCCACTGCTGCCTCATCCAAAATACCTGTGTGATTCATGCTAACGTGTGACTGAGGCTCACCTTCCTCCCAAAGGCTGGTTTCCCAGGGTCTCGCCCATTCATCATTCAGCACATTCTGAACACCTGCTGTGTGGCTACACCCTGCCAGGGATACAGCCCAGAAGTCAGGCCCAGTGTCTGCCCTTACATAGTTCACAGTCAGGTGGTGAAGAGACTTGAGCAAACCCAGGTCTGGCTCTCTTTTCTCCTGCACAGGAGTGGATCCAGCTTTAGGGTCTCTCTTTAGACAAAAGAGCGCCAAATTATGAGTGTGGAATGAGATATAACACTTTGAAGGGGCCTTGCAAGGGAGAGGCCCAAAGGCTCGAGCTTCAATAACTTTCCAGAAGAGTCTACCTTGGCCGTCTTATTTATTTATTTGTTCTAGAGATAGAGTCTTGCTCTGTTGCCCAGGCTGGAGTGGAATGGCACAATCATAGCTTACTGCAGCCTTGAACTCCTGGGCTTAAGTAATCCTCCTGCCTCTGCCTCCCAGGTGGCTGAAACTGCAGGTGTGTGCCACCACACCAGGCTTATTTTCTATTTTTTTTGTAGAGATGGGGTCTCACGATGTCATCCAGGCTGGTCTCAAACTCCTGGCCTCAAGTGATCTTCCTGCCTCGGACTCCCAAATGCTGGGATTACAGGCATAAGCCACCATACCTGGCCTTGGCTGCCTTTTTATATTGCCTCTTCTGGTTATAGATGAGTAATAATAGAATGCAAATAGTCCATATTTCTTGAATGCACACTACATGCCAGGCCTATTTTGCATGCTATTTTTTTCTTTAAAATACAATTCTTAATCTCTTATTTTTTTTTCTTTGAGAAGGAGTCTTGCTCTGTCACCCAGGCTGCAGTACAATGGTATGATCTTGGCTCACTGCAACCTCCGCCTCCTAGGTTCAAGCGATTCGCCTACCTCAGCCTCCCAAGTAGCTGGGACTACAGGTGCATGCCACCACACCTGGCTAATTTTTGTATTTTTAATAGAGATGGGATTTCACCATGTTGGTCAGGCTGGTCTAGAACTGCTGACCTCAAGTGATCCACCTGCCTCGGCCTCCCAAAGTGCTGGGATTATAGGCATGGGAGTCCATGAGCCACCGCACCCGGCCCCATTCTTTATTCTACTTTTCCCTTTATTTTAATTTTATCTCATATTTTTTCATGGACTCTCCTCCCACAGGTTGCTAACTTTATATGCAAAGGTCAAATTAACCCTTCACAACGCCTTTTAGGTAAAAACCATAGGTATCCCTTGCTTTCTAAACTTCAGAGCCAAATTTATTCAGATAAATTTCGTGCTATCCAAATTATCACTACTTGGGCTGGTGCAGTGGCTCAC